CCTTTCGGTTCCGAATATACCGTCTGTCCAATACATTGAATGAGATCAATCCAACAATGCGTATTCTAGTCCCTCCCGGGCATTCAAAGCATTCTTGAGGCCAAACTTGTGTACCTCCCCAATGTCGAAATTAAGCAACCGAAATCAACCGTGTTAGGATTGATGATTATCTAAAGAAACTATCTGACCAGTCAAATCATGTGAATGAGTCATCTACGTCAACTGCGTGCGGACCTAATGTGTCGTCCAGAGTCACGTGACTAATCGCTCTGCCTCCTGCTGATTGGTTATCTCACCCATCACTCTACGCTCAGACCACAATTTCACACCTATTTGAAATCGATCGGTGATATGATCGGATCCCCAAAAGACCCACTGATAAGAGATTGCCTATCTCAATTTAAACTTATCAGGGAACCAAAGAGCGATTTTTAAAGCGACCTTTTCACCTGAGGGGTTTCTCACAGAACTATACGGCCAACGGTCAGTTTGGGCAGCTTGAGGGAGTCCGATGTGATGTGAAACTGGTTCCAGTCAGTAATTGAACAATATTCTTTCAAAACCTAAGCCTACCGATTGGCTATGGAAAACATCACTGTCCGAACTCATCACGTGACCATCATCACGTGAATCCAGTCATTCTCAAAGTCAAGATACATATTTGAGGAAAGGTGCGTCACAAATCAGCTAATTTCGCCAAAATTTCACTTGCTAGTTTCCTGTTTGCTTTGAAAATATTCGGTCGCCACTACAAATAGCGCATTTTATCGCACAAGAGACCGCGCGTTTATATCGGTCACTTCAACTCCTTAATGTCTTTTTTGTCTACCCCATCCCCACACACATGTTCAAGCGTAAATCTCATCTGTGTGCTTCAGGTAGCCGCGATTTCTGTTACCGTATGCTGGTAAATGATGTTCGGCCCACGCATTCACACATCACATATATTTTTTGAGCGACATGTAGACCACGACAGCACCGACGGACTGTAACCGTACGTGCAGACAGTTATTTCGGGTGACTCACTGCCTGACCGAACCCCACTCAACTGTACAAGGTGAATAATCCGAGAAATACTTGTATGAAGAATGCTCACAACACTAAAACAAGGCACACAAATGAAAATTTACGCATCACCACGGAATACAACTTGAATCTGGGAAGTTTGATCTCACAGAGTGATGAAACGTTGAACCCGTGTGTCATTCAGAGTTCCGACCCAATGAGATATTGCATCCAGTGCCCCCCAAGGGCCCACCCTTCGGACTGGCTGTTTCGAGGACGTTCTCATTTTTCGGGAAATTAGAGAAAACAACTTTCTTTCGTCCCATTCTTCATTATGGAGGAAAACGTACTGAGTGTTTGATTCAACGAGACAGTGTAAAAATAAAGGAAACTACTCACAAGGTTGCTGAAAACTCTTCGACAGTCCGCGACCGGTTTTGACCGTCCAGTTCGGGCTCATCAGATAGGCGCGCAGTCCCCGAGTTTCCATCAACCTTGTGTTCTACTTGAACTCAAATTGAACTGATTTCGACAAATACACTTACTTGCAAATCACTTTGGTTCTCACGAGAGACTCGATTGAATCGCTCGATTATGATATTCTACAACTGAATGTGCTGCACACAGGCCGCCTCATGATTCAGTTGGCACGATAGTCGAGATATCGCAGTATATTTTCATAAATGAGGCTACCCACAAGGTTGCTGAAAACTGTTTGACAGCCCATGACTGGTTTCGTCTTTGTTGGAGCTCGTCAGGTAGGCACGCGGTCAGCGAGTTCTACTTGAACCCAAATTGGACTGTTTTCGTGAAATACACTCATTTGCGAAGCAGTTTGGTTTTCACGAGAGACTCAGCTGAATTTCTCGTCTATGATGGAGTCATATGTCCCGTTTTAGAGGCCTCTGGCGACATCAGTTACTTGGTCTGGTGTGGTGGGTGCCCACAGTGATTGGACTGTGGATACTCTACAGTAGAATACAATCTTGTGTGGATTCATCGCCGCCGGCGGTCGTCTAAAAGGGGTTCGGAACGATGTCTGATCCTAGGCCAACGGAACGGGGTGTACAAAACAGGTTTCTCTAGGCCAGAGTTCCCGGAATTCTCTCTTCTGGAAAGCAATAGAATTTCGCACCTCGAACTCTTCTTGAAAGTGTGATGTCTCTTCTGGGGCAACCATGTGGATGAGAAAGGCATATATACATATATACTCATCCCATAAGCCTTGCCATTGCGGTCGGTCTTTGGTGATCCGATGGTCCTGTAGAATACACTGGCTGGGAATTTATTCCTTAAGGGTTTGCCATACCAGGCAGCCTAACAGAGCCAAACAACGAGTCTTTGTGCTATGAGATGCTGAAGTGTAGTGCGATTCGGTGGTGAGGTCGTACAGTTCACCGCGACGGCGTTGTAGCGAAAACTACGGTGTTTTTCAAAGGCGACACCAGTAGCGATGCTGCAAAGGTCAACAGTGAAATCTGTTAAGCGCAAATTGCCCGGACAACCCATTTGGCGCAGTCACAACATGGGGGCAACCGGTGTGAGTGTATAGAAAGAAAATAAAAAGATAGGGGAAGGTTCCATTTGGAGCCATGCCAACAACAGTTCTTTTCAGTCACGCCAAATAATTCCAAAGGTATGTAGGAACATTAGCATGCCCAATACATTCCAAGGCGCGATTAGTACTCTTTTGTGTCATGGAAACCAGCCGGAGGGTTTGGTAGATACCCTACAGTCCTACTGGATCACGCATGATGCCTGGTGGGCTCGATGTAATCGGGTTGCCAGGAGAATCGCGGAACGTCCCCGTCGTCTGGGCTATGTCAGCGTCGAAAAGTTCAGTTCATCAAGACTGAACTAATCACCGTTCGGGAACACCGAGCAACTGTGACAGATGGAAGTATAATCTCGGATGGGCGCGGATTGACCGCTTGGAACGGGAAGAGGTAAAATTACAGTGTTGATGATTGTTCCCCCGCCATCCACTCAGCTCTATGTACAATCGATGGTGATGTTGAATTTTCGATTCGCCAACCGATGATCATTTGTTTCCTGAATACGCCAAGGCTGTTATCGGACTGGGACTTCCTAAGGTCACATTCACTAACCTGTGTTCGTCCACCATTCTAGACTCCCATCGTATTTGTGACATTTTAATGTGAAGTACAAGACACTGAATATTCTACCTTGCCATTGATTTCCACACCAGATTTCTATGTAGATACTTGCGAAAAAAACATCTCAAGTGAAACCGGTCAGTCAGATCGGACTACAATCGAGAGTCATTCACAATGGCTAAAATTCTGTTCACGGAATTTCTCAGTTTGCTTGTTTCATTATCGATTTAGGTCAAGTAATCACTACGTAGTAGATTAGAGTTGCGCCCTTCTTAGTGGTACATCGCTGTGAAAGCGTTGGGCAAAGCTGTGCTCGTGTTTATGTACGCCTTGTTGACTGGGGAATCCTTCGTTTGCGATTAGACGTTTCGATGATCGATATTGCTGGTTGATTATACGGCCCTTTCTCTGATTGATCGGCGCTAAGATGACGATAGATCTTGACCTCGGCCTGCGGTTCTCTGGTTGCAATTTTGCCGGTTGATCCATTGGTTCACTGTGTGTTATTCTATTGAGTTAACGGTTCTTTGGTCGCAATGGCTCATAGTCTGAGTCAACATTGCCACGCTCAGCGAATAAAACAACAATCTGAGGTACCAAAAAACTACAACACACTGCGCTTGTAAGGAGCCTTCGCTATTCGGTACACAGGTAATTTTCAACGTTTATTTGGAGTGCCATTTATACTGATGACTACTCGGTCGGAATAGTATAAACTGACATGATTTAAAACTGGCTCTGGATGCTAGTCACGTGACGCTGACGTATCAACCAACCGTTCGAGTTAAATTGTTGCAATCGCCCGCTCTGTAGTGGACCGGATCAGAGATTTTGACCGTTTAAGGAAAGCTGTGCAACTTGAAAAGTGAAATGTAGGTTCGGAGCACAGGAACGGAGAGAAAGCAAGTTTAGATAAGTGTGCAACGGAAAAACCCAATAAAGTGAGCATTATCCTCGGCTGCATTAAGTCCGGGGTAAAACAATTTGTGGTACGATTGATTTACAGAAAACAGACAGACGACCCGTTCATTGGTTTCACCAACATTTTCAAATCCTTTAAGATGCTTGCAACATTTTCTGGCTTTGACTATCCACCTTTTGAACATTCTAGTTTAAGATACACCAGCAAGATCAGCGACCAGAGGGGGCTATCGTTGATGAAACTGAAGGTTTCCTACTGTTAGCCAATGGAGAGCTTCGCGCATTTGAGGTACCCATGGTGTCAAAGCGGTTTATTCTTTTTTCACAATAAGGCTTTCAAATAAACCACAGGTTTACGACAGTTAAGCATCGGTGTTGAACACTGATGTCATGCTGTCGATGATGACGATGATATGGAACTGGTACCGAGTAACTCAACATGCAGTTGAGAAGTTCCACGCGCAATCTAAAGACCCCTTTTCAGTCAGTGGAACGCTTAAATGGCGGCTGTTAGCAGTTCATAAGAAACCGATTCTGACCGTTATGAGGCACGTGTTCTTTAGCACCAACCGACCTGCCCAACTAGATTTACTGTTCGCCAAACTTATTTGAGAGGTCCGGTACTTTGGATTGTCGCGAACAGTTTGCGAAACCGGTGCACTTTCGGTCACCCTATTAGACGGGAACCTTAAAAACTGCCACAAGAAACCACAGAAAACCTCTGTATGAGAGTTTGAATTTTCGTCGGTATGCTACTAGCCTGTGTCATATATTCGTAGTACGGGGGATTGTCTGGAGAAATACAGTTTAGTGAATAGTACAAACATGCCCAAATCACCAACCTCAATGAAAGGCGATTCTCAATTGAGGTTTCGTCCGATGTAGGCTGAGAAGAGACTGGAATTTACCTCAGCAACTTATTGAGGTATACTGGGAGGACGTACCCGCAACACTTACAGTCTCCCATAGCAGGTTGGTTAGAGGTCTGACGAATACAGTCTCCTGTCCCTCTAGGCCAGGGGTTGGAACATGTGTGGCGACTTGTTCCGTAGAAATGGTAATGCATTTGCATTTCCCGCCAAACAACGCTGCCTTGCGGTTAGGCTTTTGAGCCAAAGGCATTGGTTGAGGACCCTAATCGTGTACCTGTCTAGGTGTGAGCGGCCGGGCAGTATCCCAGCACTCGTACAACCATGACATTCACGACTAACAATACCCTCATACTACATCGGCTGTCGCGTGGTGCCATCAGCCGGGCCGCCTTATTCGCTCCATACAACAGGGTGTGTAAGCGAAAACAGGTCTCCGCTGGCGCCTCCATTCTTTCTCTTCCACGTAGTTTTTTTCCCTCTCCCCACTCCATGAATAACTCTCCTCTTGCAGGCCCATAACTTGGGACTGACGACTCCGTTCATCTTGCATAACATCTGCTCGTCCCATGGCTCCGACATCCTCAGGTATCTCGAAATCACTCTTCAAGCCTCAACGCCATTTAATCTACACCGACGGTGGGACATCAGGGGGGATGTTTTCTGAAGGTTAGCTAATTGTAGAGAGGACTCTGGGTGGACTTTTTTTTTAATCAAACTCCTATGAAAAAAGCATGTTGGTAATGTGTTGGAATATTGAAAGCTCGGGTGCATTAGTTGGTAATTGATCAGGTAGCTGTTGATCTGTTTGCCGAGCTTGACAATTGATTTGCAAACGTCTCGTCAACACTCGAGGAGACAGCTCAAGTGCTGTTGGTTGGGTAGTCCCTCTCTTCGTGCCTGCGTTCATACAGTTTACAAAGAGTAGCCTTTGCGCTGTTACCTGATTGGCTATTGACAATCATAACACCTGGATTCTGGTTGGTCTGATCCTAATCTGCGTTGCGTTGCGTTGTGGTTTGTGTTTCTTGCTTCCTACGGCCAAGCTACTGTTGAACTTGTCGTCTTCCGGCTGGCCCATTTGTGATATGTGTTGCGTCGTGGTCGGCTTCTCTGTTACCAAATAAAAGAATGTCTTTCTGTCATTATCCTAGGTCAAGTCAGTCCTTGTTTCGGACTTTACATCCCTGTCTGGTCCAAAAGTCAACTTAAAGTAAACACTTTGATGTGCCATTACAAAATATACTTCCTTTTTTGTGAGGAATATACTTGAACTGTCAGGCATTCTAATCGATCGCCTCTTTCTCTATGAACGTTTTGCCAACGACCATGAAAACAGCTGACAGCTCACGTGGTCTCTTGTCTGGGGGGGTCATCTTTTGGGGATGCCGTAAGCACCAGGTTGCATGACGTGAACTGTGTGGCTGAGGAGGGTGGGGAGAGAGAATGGCATTATATCTCACCTGAATTACGAGATTGATTAGTAGTGTCCAAGTTAGTTTGAATCCATCAAGATATGTGTGAAACACGCACCACCAACGGTCGCCAAAATGAAACGAAACAAAAATCGACTGTCTCGAATAGAACACGAATACAAGACAACGAGATACTCTGTGCCAATCTGGTTGGCTGATACTCAGAACTTGCGTACACCCAAGCCTCCTTGAAATGTTCTGATAAAATTCGTTTTCCGGTGTATGGGAAAAACTTAAGGTAGGCGAAAATCATCAATGAAAAGCTGGGTTCACGAAGATGATCTTGTGGGAGACTGCTGCTCTAGCTGCAAGGCAGTGGGACGTATGGCCACAAAAGCTCGAGATGTCTTCAGCCGTCCAGTCGGTTCCCGTCGAACACATTCAGGCATCACCCTTGTTGGATCTGGGAAAAACGGACGGCAAACACACCGAGCCGAAGATTTGGTAAATGCGGTCATACAACTCACTACCTCACAGAACTGAGCACAACAGAACGAAAGAAGTGAGGACGTTACTGTACAACTCGAGACAACTCACCAAAAGTTCTGAAAACAAGCGGTTGAAATAATATTGCTGCCTGTGGCCGAGTAAATGCGATCACGTATCCCCAACTCGCCCATATTGGCTCAGTCCTCTTCACGCCGCTTGCTCCTAGTCTTGCTAATTCGCAAACCTGTTGTTTTGAAAGCAAGGTGGTAAAAGAATGCTTTGTTGAGATGCGTGGGTGTACACTGACAAGGCAGGAAAGGAAGACAGGTCGGGAACGCACAACCAAAAGACTCAACGTCTGTGCGCGGAAGTAATATACGGATTAGCCAAATCCGGAATGTCATGACACACAAAAGTACTTCAAGAATTCGATCCTGATCTGATGCGCGTGGTGCTGAACGTCCTTGGGGATCAAATATGATTGGATGGCGGCTCTCTTGGACAGTTTAGGCCGAAAACACAGCACAATCGAGAAAGTTCTGTTTAGCGGAACCTTCAATCGGAAATGAGTACTGCAATCTCCATTGGCAACTGAACAAAACGCGGGCTGCCGAGACCACTTATTGTGGTGACACAGTAGAATTTTTCATGACTATGATACACAAAACTAAGGTCGACTTCGCACAGTTCTTGAGTGCCAGAAATAGACAAAAGCAGTCTTTGAAACAAGTCCCATATGAGTGCTCCACATACGGTCAGGGTTTACTCATTTAAAGTAACTAAACGTTCACAGAGGAACTGGTAAATGAGTAGTATCGACTCGTTGATGAATGTTTGATAGTAAGGCCCCTTGCCGTTGGTAGAGGAGACTTTCGAGACGGGATTTCGACCTAAATCTCCCGTGGTATTCGAGCTTCAAGGCTACAACGGTCCTGCGAGCTATACTGGCTGTAACTCAGGTAAGCCATACCAGGAAGGTCAACTGTGAGCAGCCCAACGAAGAACAGCAAGTCCCCTTACTGCGAGAAATCACATTATCTGCCTGTCTGTACTTTAAGTCATACTGTCCTCTGCGATAGGAGTGTAAAGAGAGCAATGCGTTTCCGTGGAGCAGCAATGCAGCTTTCACCCGAGGGAAGATGAGTTAGAAAAGGTTAACCGCACACCTTCATCACCAAACGGTTGACCACGTTATTCAACGACAAAGAGTCCAGACAGGGCCCCCAAAGGAAGCCATATTGCCCGCTGCTTTGCGGGTCGCGCTTTTGGGTCATAGACCCAACCAAACCCGCCCGTTCGACCTGGGCGACCGGGAAGTATCATTCGCCCTTGTAGCCTTCTCTCGAACCCCGTTCGCACCCAGTGTGATCAACCCATCTGCCAGTTCCATAGCGATCATCCAGTGTCCAAACTATCGCCCACTAAGCACTGTAGTAGCTGCTCCGGTGTGTCAGAGTTTGCGCGTGTGCGTGTTCGTTCGTCGTTCCACCATCGATCTGGAATGTGACTTGAGTGGCTGGTCGGATGTGTCCGCTTGGTTGGCTCGCGTGAGCGCTGTGGGTTGACTGGATAGGTGACTCAGTTGTTTGCTTACCCGCCACGAAAGCGGACCGGTTGGCCGCGTGTACACAATACACCCGTGTCCGTACTTACGTGTTCTTCTGACTTACTGTGAACTACAATAATAAAGAACCGGAGTAATGCCTTGCTAACCTCAAAAGATCTGATTCACACGGCAGCCATCAACCTCCATACTCTGTGTCAAATTGGACAACAACAGCGCCCTGTTTAAGCTGATTCGATCAACCGGTCAAAAGAAGGCAGGTGTCAGCGAAACAGTGGAATGTAGTTCGTCGACCGTCACACCAGCCTTCAAAAAAGGCAAAAGTGGGTCGTGCGAAAACCATCGTAATATTAGCCTAGTATCCGTCGCATTCAGGATGCTCCCCGGGGGGATTTTGAGCAAATCAATCAATTACCATGAGGGGTAGACTCGTAAGAATTAAACATTTCACATTGATCATATCTTTACTTTGAGACAAGTTCTTGAACAGCGCCACCCCTCCAATGCCCCACGTTGGTCTTTTTTCTGGATCTGAATGTTGCTTGTGACTCTGGTAGTTTTTGGCGACCAAGAGTGTCCCCTTCAAATTTTGGCCCCCCTATGAGGGCACTGTATGCGAAATGCTTTAGATGGGTCCAAGTATACGGTAAGCTCTCGCCCGAGTTGCTCACGTCCAGCCTCTCCTCTCCAACTTTGCTATTGATGTATTACTTGAAAGGACTCTGCATGCCTCTGGAATGGAAATGCTCCCTAGAACGTTTGCTCAAAGACATTGAGAATGTGGACGATACTACTGTCCTTGATCCAGATCCTTCAAAAGTGCAAAACATTTTAAGGGAGCCACTTATATCCTTACAATTTGTCATGCTGCAAGACTGGGCGGGATCGAACCCAACCTTCTTGCTTGCGGACGAGCCAGTCGACAAACTTGTCTTACTGGGCGGGCGTTTAGGTTCCGATGGAATGGCTAAATCAGGAAAGCTGAGGCAGCCTTCGCCAACCTCCGACACCTATGGCACCGACTGGACGTCAGTTTGTCTATCGGGGGCAGAGTTTATACTGCGGCAGCGTGATCCATACTGCTTTATGGGTCGAAAACGTGGTATATTAGAGCAGAAGACATGCGAAAAATGTTAGCTTTTGGCCATGGGTGTATACGATTGGGTCTGGTGCGATCGTCAGAATGGTAGTTCTGAGGTACGCCAGATGGTTGTAAGAAGAGGGAACTCTCCTACGTTGTTTAGGATATATACTCCACATGCCAGAGGACTAACTTCCTCACACCCAGCCCTGTGCTGAGTGGAAGTGACCGAGAGGTGGACAGTGTATGACCTGGCAACGAAGTATGGGAACACTAACTGGTGAACTTACTCGGGCCAACACCTGCCGTCTCTCTGGATGGGAACCCAGGGTTCCGACTCACCAATAGTTAACGACATTGACAGAAATGACCCGATCGGGCAGTCGGTGGCGTTCATGCATCAATTCGTAACTACCCAGTCCCTTAACATGTCATCGCTTGGCTGTATTTCCCACGTCCTCCCACTCTCGGGTCCTCAAAACTGTGGCAGTCGGAAACAATGTGGTACTTGGTTTATGGCTGACAAGATATTTTTCAGTTGCTTTTTTATTCGTCCCCCCACGCTCGGTAGGATTTTTTTATCATTCGCTCACGGTGTCCCCCCCACCCCGAGGTACCACTATCCCAATCGCTACGACGGCTCATCACCTGTTCCTCTTCATCGGTTACATAACAAATACTTTCGCTCATCTTCTTGCTTTCAGTTTTCACTCACCTTTTTTGAGGTCCTAAATGACAATCTAATGGGCTAATTCAAGGATACATAAGCGAATTTCTTGACATGACATGCTACGTTGCTGAAAGCAGCTCACTTGGACTCATCATATATGTTTGTATCTGGCTGTCCCGAATGGTCTCTTGTTTTGACCCTGACAAATGCATTGTTAAGCCTCAGAAAAGTGATTTTTCACGCATTAGAGAGGTGTCGTCAGTGATGCACACCTGACGAAGCTTAATGAGCCTGTCATCCTCTGAAGGATATCCCGGAATGTCCCAATAAGGGTGGTCACCTCATTATGGTGTTCTTTTCTGTATGAAAAGCGGAACTTTGCTATCATACTATGCCGTCGGGGGTTATAAAATCTCTCGAAAAATGTCTACTCAGGATTGAAAACTTACATTTCTCTTTGGAGCATCTCGGGAATTGCTGTTCCACGTTGCTGCCCACATGGAGAAGAGAAAACCAAACACAGGCATTCCCCGTGTGTTCTGCATACCTGGCGCGAAAGTCCTGTGGGCTAAACTGCGTTTGAATGCGGTCTCAGCCAGCCACAGCACTGATTGGTCATTCAGAGGTCAATGCGTGCGGCGTTGTTGCGCACTCTCTGGCATGTCAGCCAATCAGAATCAAGAGTTACACTCGCCAGATAACGCAGCCGGCTCAGACCGGTCAGCCACGGCTGGAAAGCCAATGAATTTCATGGGGCGGTGAAAAACCAAACTGACTGCTTCAAAAAGATGTGATCATGTTCAGGAATCCAAAGATCTATTGAAGCAGGTTAAAATGGCTTTTAATTATGGCATTGGGCAAAAATCCATACAGCGAGTGTGGACATTGATGACAGTCCTTTGGAGCGTCCCGCGAGACAAACAGCACTTGAAAATCTTGTTGCGGACTGAAAGTTGACGTGTTCCTTCGGTTTTTGAGCTACTTTTCTTCTGTTTGTATTGAACCCAGCGACTGACGTTGAGTGTTGGCTTGCCTATCACAGCCGTGTAACATTGTGTCCCTTCATACTACTCATAGGCTATCAGTAATTTGCATGAAAACAAAAACTCAAGTGGAACATTAGGTTGAAGGAAACCCGGGAACTGCGCCTACCTGACGAGCACCAAGAAGGCCGAAACCGGTCATAGGCAGTCGAAGAGTTTCCAGCAACCTTGTGACTAGATCCCTCATGAAAAACGTTAAAATGGCTTTTAATTATGGCATTGGGCAAAAATCCATACAGCGAGTGTGGACATTGATGACAGTCCTTTGGAGCGTCCCGCGAGACAAACAGCACTTGAAAATCTTGTTGCGGACTGAAAGTTGACGTGTTCCTTCGGTTTTTGAGCTACTTTTCTTCTGTTTGTATTGAACCCAGCGACTGACGTTGAGTGTTGGCTTGCCTATCACAGCCGTGTAACATTGTGTCCCTTCATACTACTCATAGGCTATCAGTAATTTGCATGAAAACAAAAACTCAAGTGGAACATTAGGTTGAAGGAAACCCGGGAACTGCGCCTACCTGACGAGCACCAAGAAGGCCGAAACCGGTCATAGGCAGTCGAAGAGTTTCCAGCAACCTTGTGACTAGATTCCTTCATGAAAAACTCAACTCAGTTGTTTCTCGACAGGACAGTTGTGTGATATGAACTTGGATTACCAGACACGGAGTGACACTGTTAATAAACCAAAAAAAGAAATTCCCAATTTCTCTCTATAATATTCCGGGTTTGAACGCAGCGTGGATATTCTGAGAGGTCACTATCAGTACTCGATCCAGATGGGCTGGCTAAAGTGTCGACTCAAAGTAGCTATACACTTCTCATGGAGGAACTCGTCTACGCTATGATTCGACGGATTCCTGGACCCCCAACGCAGGTGTGGCCTTCGCTTGGGGCCAATCAGAAGGCGTATGGGCAAAGGACATGTTGCTTGCGTCTCTCAAATTCTGTGTGAACTTAGCAGATTGGCAAATACCGTCAAATTTGTTCCCGATAGATGTGTCCCCTTGCCTTCTCGGAGATCAAGCGATGTGAATTTTCGGGATGCTTCCAGCAAAAGCCCAATAGAAGAGACCCGGAGATTCGGTACTGTCCAAAGACTGTTTTAGTAAATCCATCCGACTGGTTCTCGGAGACCAGCTGTGAATGGAACCATCGAGGATCGGAAAGGCGTGACTAAAAGGAGGAACGCCTTGACCGGTGGGCTGAATACTTTGAGCAACAAATGTCTTGGCCACCAGCCAGCACTCATCTGCAGCCCACAGGTGAATTAGAACCCTGGACGGTGAACGTGGAACCACCTACGGCCTCGGAGATTTACGACTGCATATGTTCCCTCAAGCTTCACCGAGCTCCCGTCCCGCATGACCTCCCGCCCGCACTGTTCAAAGACGGGGTGAAGTCCTCAGTCAGCGCTTGTCCGATCTGTTTGCTAGCATTTGGGAAAAGAAGTCTGTACCGGACAACTGGAGAGAGTCAGTGATAGTGCCCATTTTCAAAGAAGGAGCGCGTAGTGAGTGTGGTAAACACAGGGGGATCAGCTTGACTCCGGTCGTAAAGATACCATTGTCCTCACTGGTGCTTCGTCGCCTTACGGTGGCTGGTGAGATACTGACTCGAGAGCAGCAAGCGAGATCATGGTCTGGTGGGGGTTGCACTGACCAAATATTTACACTGCGTCAGGTGCTAGAACAACACCATAGGTATAAGCGACCCACAATCCTAGTTTTCCTGGATTTTCGAGGCGCGTTTGACTCGGTTGATCGGCCTGTTCTATTTGTTCACCAAGAAATGCCCCGGAAGTTTGTGAACATAATACGTTTTACGTATTCTCAGAATTACGGACGTATGAGAGTGTACGGAGAGCTCTCCAAAAGCTTCCGCACACAAAGCGGTGTCCGTCAGGGATGCCCACTCTCTCCATTCCTTTTTAACTTTGTGATCGATGAAATACTGAGACGAACGCTGGTGGGCCTCCAAAACCCGGGTGTTCAAATAGCCAGTGAAGAAAACCTTGTCGATCTGGAATATGCAGACGACATCGTTCTCATCTTTGAAGAGGAGGAGAAGGTGCGAGTATTTTTGGATGAACTGATCAAATTCATCCCGTCCTTTGGTATGCACTTTGCACAAAGTGTAAGGTCATGCTCGTGGACGTGCAGTCACTGGACACGCCACTTACGATCCAGGGAGAGGTACTGGAAGTTGTGGAGACGCCTATGGCGTCAGAGTGGTTTATCCCTGAATCTCAAGGGATGTGTGTATCAGGCTACATTGCGGGCTGTTTTGTTGTATGGCTGTGCGACTCGGCCTATTCGAGCAGCGGACCTGAGACGTCTTCAGGTGTTCGACAATCGTTGTCTCAGAACCATAGCTTGCGTGGGTTGGTGTCGGCGATTCCGTAATGAGGCAGTGGAACGCGCATTTTCGGTCGTGCAACGGGTATTTCCATTGAAGAATATGTCCAACACCAGAAGCTGCGTTGGTTGGGACATGTGTTGCCTATGCCTAACCATCGTTTGCTGCAGAAAGTGCTGTTTTCCGCACCTGAGGATGAAGGGACATCGTGGGTTATCAAACATTGATTCAAATGCATGGCTTGGCAACAGAAGGAGCAGTCACAACGCGGATCCAAGCCATTCGCACGAAATTTGCATCTGTCTGCCTATCTCAATTCCAGCTTTACTTAAAACAAGGAAGAATAGATTAGTATGTGAACAACGGAAAAAAATCGGTTCAAATATGCTCTTAATTGAGGTTTCATACTGTAAGTGGGGACAGTGCTCAAGTGCTCCTGTCGTTCTGCTAATAGGTTAGGAACGTTGTTCATTGACAACTTAATGAGTATTTGGGGGCGATTGATTCAGTTATGAATATTCTGGTACGGCATTTCGATGACTCCGAAATCAAATGCGTGAACCTCATTTTCATATAGATTTGGTGAAATATGTCAAACCTCAGTAGAGACACTTGGAAGCGGGACGCCTCCGCACGAGCGGGCACATTCTTGAAGGCTTCGAAAGCCATCAGTTATGAACTACTTACAAAAGTACAGTAGTTTAACTAATGAAGCAAATTGAACACCTCCAGTAGGAATTTCAGTAACCCTACATTCCTCCATTTCAAAACACCAGAGTTGTGTAACTGGGTCGAATAACGCCGCGACACTACCCGATATCAATTGCTTGAACACCGAAAGTTCCCAAATGACAGCGACCAACCGTCGAAAATTCTGTCCGTGTTATTTAGCCACCCAAAGCAGCTATTATTTATCACTGAAATCCTGTATTTGAGTCTGACCAGTTCGCCAATCACAGCAATTATATGCTGTACGCGAATCTGCAGTGTTGCAAAATTTTCGTTACCAGCGTTCATATTGCCTGTGCTCACGGTGTGCTTTTCTGCTTTCGAAAGAGATTTCATCATCGCCAGCATCATCAAAGACAGCAACACTGGGAACACCAGTTTGTCTCGAAAGACGTTTTTCGGTATTTAATTCCCTCATGACAACTGGCCTTATCTTATAATAAATACTGGTATCCAATCAACTGTGACTGAATGCGCTTGGTTGGAAGGATGAAAATCGATAGCTTCGGTAACCTTGTAAGTGGTGTGAATTAGCTACTCACTAAACCTATGTGTATTGCCGGCGAAAATCCACTTTGAGGTGCCTCACTTCTCAGCTGTGTACTCTTGCCAAATCTGAAAATTGCATGTAATCGTACGTACGTCGCACAGACACGGCACCCGTAATTGGATACCCTCTTTTGGAAAACATTGTGTGGTGACACGTCGAAGCCATTAACATCAAACTGAAATTTCCCTGGCGAATTGCCATAGCAACGTGCTGCTAATGACGAGTATTTGATGCACAGTCGAACTGGGACGTGCGACTCCCATGGTAATCGGAGGCTTGTCTGTGTGAGCTTCACCAATTGCAGGGAATGCGAAGAAAACCGTACCTATTCGTCAAGGTGCGTACGTGACATCCAATCCTAAGGGTGGCTAGTCGACTTTGTAGATATTTCGAGATTAGTCTCGTTTTTACTGACCTGAAAATAAATAAATCAGTCCACGGTTCGGTTAACCAAAGCCCGCTTTCGAATGGATCGTTGATTCTCTCTGAAATAACTGGAGATTGTCAGGCTTCTCGAAACTGTGTCAATTGACTGAAAACGTGATTTCGTCAGCCCGTCTATCTTTTACAATTAAACGGAGATGTTTAGTGGAAGGCGGAAAAAATTAGGCCCCTCGAATTTAACTGGAACCTCTCCGTATTGACTGGCGTCCCGGTTGTTCGGAGGCTATCGTTGTATTGAACGGGCGATCTTCTCCAGATAGGCCCCGCCAAAAAATTAACCCCCGCCACAAACAAAGATTAGAAAAAAGCGGGACATGGAAGTTGTACTTTTAGTTTTTATTGAAGAGGGTGAAACTGGGACATGTCATTATTGATTTGTATGAGAAGGTCCGTTTTTCGGTACCTTTTCCTCTAAACGAACTCACGCAAGAAGCTGCCACTAAGGATCGCTGTGTGTGACGTATTCGCGTTTATTCTGCATCTTGTGGTTTTTACGGCGAGATACTGGTTTTTCATTGAGCTCGACGTGTATACCTGAGCCGCCGATAACTGTCGCAGTCTGCAAAAGCCACCAGTCAAAAGCGGCCGTGTGGCTAATAGATAATTCCTCTGAGCAGATTTGATTTTCGCCAAATTTTTGG